ACCGAGTGCCTCACGGGACATTTGCTGCAACCATTTGATGATAACTCTATCCATTTTGAAGTTAGTTAGGCATTACTTAGAAGTTGATGGATTTTCCTAATGATGGCAGTTATCAGGCATGTTATCATGAGACATCACAGTTAATCTGCATACTAATGAAAACAAACATTGTTGAGTCTGACAGTTGATGGCAGGCCTTGGGCTTCTGCAAATGATATAATCATACCTCCATGTCAGAATGATAAGATCTGATTGGTCCACCTGATCTTTATAAAATACTATGAAACCGCCTTGGAGGGAAATAAATTTCTCAGCGGGGGAATAAATCTCTTATACCCCACCATGTACAAGTCACACTGCACATGGATTTCTGAGAGGCAGAATAAATCCCTCATACCCCCGCTTCGAAGCAAAAAACTGCATGCCTTTTTCTGCGACATAATGCATAGTTAACCTCAGCTCAATTGAATAGCTGTTGTCACTCAATATCGAATTTGTTTTAATTCTTTACAATGTCATATTAAATCATGTCGGGAAGATAAATTCGTTGTAGCAGGATCACAAGGGGTACATGAGGTTTTATGCGACCCTAGTTGGGTTTTACAAAACCTAACACGGGAAACCTAAAACCCCACGTAACCCTCGTGATCCTGCTACAACTTAAAATGCCCTGGAAAAAAACGTTATCCTCACATTAGTACATATCTGACTGCATGACTTGGATATTAATTCCAAATGATGCCCTAATCTGATACTGAGGTCATGATGATGGTAGGTTAATATACTGACCATGCCTCAATTAGATTAAAGCTTATTGACTAATCATTCCTTTGTCAAGGTCTTCATTGGTCTTCATTGCAAGGTAGGACCTTAATGTTCTTTCAGAGCGGTTAGCACTTTATTGTCGTGCCTTCCTATAATTGAACCACGTTCAGTAGTTGGAATGGTGAATGATGATGCTTTGTGTAATGTATGTAAAAGATGCCTACTGTTATATACCCCTTATTGTATATAAGAAAGATGTTTTCTCTCATATACCACAGACAAGTGCCTGCCCCTTGCCTCATAACTTGCGGCCATTTGATGATAACTCTATCCATTTTGAGTTGTTTGATAGGCATTACTTAGGAGTTGACGGATGACAAAGTAGACACAATTTATGGATAACTTCTTTATTTCCCGTATAGGCGATTAGATCAATATACCCTTACTAAGCAATGCATGAGGATCTATACTGAAAATAAAGAAGTTGCTGTCCATAAATTGTGTCTTCTTGTCTATTCATTTTAACATGGAGGCAGGCCTAACTTGACCTTCAGTTGCTTTATCAGATTGTATACAAGGTTGAACAGTAGCTGTTTGTGACGGTAGAAGTCATGCTTTGACTTGGGCGTCCCTGAGTGGGAGGTGGAATATGTAACTTTCATTAACCCAACATTTGATAGAAGGACAACTTCAGGTACTTCAACATCTAGTTTCAGAAAATAAAAACAGTAAAAATATAGTTGATAAATCTTCATAAAAAAATAAGATAAAGGATCCCAGAGACTTTCCAAGTAATCTAGACTTGACATCTATTATAGACTTGCTTTGGCTGCATTGGATTTATTTATTTTTACTGTCTGTATGATAGATTGTTCAACGTGGATTAAACGATTTGAAGAGCAAGAACATCCAAGAGCATCTGCTCGTGTGCCCCCACCAACCTGAGTGGGAGTGACAGCTTGTGTGGAGAGGCCTGCATGGATAGGCTTATGTAATGTCAGTGGAGCTCTAGATGCACATCAGCTTGTTACCTGCTAAACCCATTGACTTGTTCACAAGTCTACATCAAACAGGGATGGACAGTGTCCTTGAGCTGAGCTAAGTGGTTTACTGGTGTGTATGGAGGATGCCAACATCTGCTGGACGTGTCATAAATCTCATATCGCTTGGAGGTTAAACATAGTGGTCAGTATGAAGTGTGGTGGTCAGTGTGAAGTGTGGGTCAATATTTAGAACAGCATGGTACTAGATATGTTGGACATTTTATATCCCTCAGAGGAAATGGCAGCGGTTAGGATGATGCACTGGTCAATAGAAACTCGGACAGTATGGAAGCAGAGTCGTGTCATAAATCTAATAATCCATCAGGAAACGTAGTGGTCAGGGTGAAGCACTGGTCAATATACAATGAGACAGCTTGTAGAATCAAGTCATAAATCTTATATTTCATGGAGGAAAATGTACTGGTCTGCATGAAGCACTGGTCAATATGAAACGTGTATCATGTAATAGGATGTCATAAATTTTAAGGCCCACGTGTAGCGGTCATGCACTGTTCAATATGGAATGACTGTGAGGCCGGTACTCAAGCCATGTCATGAATCCGTTATTCCTTGAAGGAGGTGAGGTGAACAGAAATGGGATTTAGCGTCGCGTAAAAGATTATTGCACTTATATAGCGACGTGCATGCAAATGTGTGTGTGTGTGTGTGTTTGTGTGTGTGTCTGCTTGTACTAGTCCGAACTAATGCCGATTTATAGTGCTAGCACACTGAGATACTCTGAGCCGACCAGTCCTTGTTTTTGCCCCTTAATGCCGAGCGCCTGACTGGGTAACAACAAGTACCATCTTTTAACGTCTTTTGGTATGGTGCAGCCGGGGATTGAAACCCGGACCTTCCTCTCTCTGGGCAGATGCTCTACCACTAGTCCACAGAGGCGGTCGTCCTTGAAGGACAATATAAAGGGGTCAGTATGAGGGAATAACTTGTAGGGGAGACATTGATTGGAGAGATTAGTATCAACATATCAACTCAAATGTATCAATTAAAAATAAACTTAATTATGCTGCATATGTACAGACAAAGTGTTCCCATGTAGACTGCAATCAATAAATTTTTATGCTAACTATAGCTGATAAATTATTCTGTTAAAAATTGAATTTTCTGCCTTCTTATTGTCAATCGTAGCCATGGTAATATTAACAAATATAAACGTTTCTCTCATAGTGAAATATTAATAAAGCATAAATATTCATAAATATTGTGTCTCAATATTAAAAACATCCCCAGGGATGTGGCTGGGTTTAACATTTCATGACATATGTTTATCTCAGTGTGTAGACTCATACAAAATGACACAGATGAAAAACACATGAATGGACGATGTGCCGATGTGACAGAGGTACTCGGCTGGCTGCAAGGAACTCTGGGTTGGAGAGTGATTGGCTTCATACGCCCAAGACACATATATATATTGTAATCTAGGTTTTGATAAACACTGACTTCTAATCTAATCAAGCTGACAATAAGTATTTTTAACTCAGCCATTAGCAAAACACACAAGCTTTCTCTCCAATTTGATTTGTTTAAAAAAACAAGACTGAAGCCAGTTTACTCTGCGCAGCACTTGCATTGCTGGCTTCACTGTGCGGAGCTCCATTGTTTTGGTTTGAGAAGTGAATCAGGCATGTGACATCAGACTCATAAATATGTCATGCATGATACAAAAACACCGAGAATCGGCGATGTACGCTTGCTTTAACCACTGTGGATGATACCCACAATATTGTGCAGACAAACCAAGGCTCCTGATCGTGGTGAACCTGGCAATCCAACCCACAAAGGTTCTGGCAAGTAAGAGGGCGGCATCTCTACACAGCAAACAGTAGCACCAGGGCTGGGACGGGTAACTCGGGTTCTCAGGACAGGCTGGTACTGAGTAGGACCTAGGTACCCACAGTACTACCCAGGCCCGGGGTAGTCACGTGATATATTGTTTAAATACAATAACAAAAGTCGCTATGTTTGCATTCCTTTCTGACTATGCACGCATTGTTTCTGACTTTTATACGTTTGAGTAAAGATTTGACCAGTCAACTTTAGTGTATGCATGATCTGATTGTTTTATACATGTATGTAAACAGCATTTGCCAGCACTCCAGCAAAATAATTCCCAATCAGACCTGATGTACCCAACTCTTCAGACATACAGTTAGATACCCGGGAGGGTTGGGCAATAGAGGGTCGAGTATCCGGGTAATAAATTTGGACTCGTCCCAGCCCAAAGTAACACTTAGTCTACAGTGCTGTCCGTGCCTCTTTGGGATGAAGTCACTGGAAGAGCCTCATCACTTCTGCTTCAAAATCTGAAGCTTGCCACCAACCCAGATAGCAGTCAGACGTTGGGCCAACGTTGGGCCAACGTTATCACTTACGTTGGGCCAACGTTGGCTATCAACGTTGGCCCAACGTCATTTTGACCGGCGGCCCAACGTTGGGCCAACGTTGGCCGAACATCGTTGGTCCAACGTTGACCCAACGTTGGGCCAACGTTTCTTTGCCAACGTTGGGCCAACGTTGACCCAACGTTGTGCCAACGATGTTCAGCCAACGTGGGCCCAACGTTGGGCCGCCGGTCAAAATGACGTTGGGCCAACGTTGATAGCCAACATTGGCCCAACGTTGATGGCCAACGTTGGATTACGTCTGTTTTATTCCTCACTATACCTCCCAGGCAGCCTGAAATGTTTGTACCAAGGTAGTTAAGACATCAGGTAACAAGCAATACATTCTGCAAGTTAGATTCACTCTGAACTCTTTCCATGAAAGAACATGCCAATGAAATGCGCTCTCTCTTCTGGCAGGGTACCTCGGCATACATAATTTGAAATAGGGCCAAGAAAAAATTCAAAATGTTTCAAATTACACGTGCAATTTGGTGCTATAATATTTACTTTCCAAAACCATTTTCAAGACTATGTGCAAATTGTTCACAAATGTTTCAACACTATTAAAAGGTAAATGATTTTCCCACAAGTTTGCAAATTAAAAACCATCAGACAATAAGCCTGCCACAAATTGAAAATTTAATTTTTCTTGGCCTTACCCCATACATTCAGCATTAGGGCTACGCTGAGACAAGCAAAATAGTCCATGCATCGGATGTCCTATTATCAATATACTTGATCTATTAAAAAATATGATAACAGCAACAAAATGACAATAGAATTCTGGTTTCGGTGACCTTTATTTATTTGTTACATGACAAATCAGAACTTGGGCTGAGTGGTTGAGGAGCCTTTTCAATCCTGAGATGTCAGAAGAACTTATCACAGGGATGATCTTCAACTGTATCCACGGTCTCTCCGTGTGCCTTGGTAACTGAATAAAACAATGACACAATTATAATAATGATAAGGCAAGGGACATTTTTTACATACAAAATGGTTGCCTTCCCCTAAATAATAATTTGATGTATGAAAAAAAGTCTCAGCAGTGCTACCTCCACCCATCCAAGTCATAAAACTGTTAAAAACTGCTAAAACTGGGAAGGTAGCTAAGCTTAGACAGTAATACCATGATGCTCTTAAATCATAGATAGGCAGAAAAGCTATTAACACTAAATGAACAAGAGTAACGACTCATTCATTTTTCAAAGTTTAAAACATAGAAAAAGCATAATTATCAAAAAAACTTTGCACTGCACATCAAGTTATAGGTCTCACAAATGTTGAAGAAAATAATTCTAAGTTCAAAACATGAAACAAATCATATTTTTTTCTGAAAATACACATATCAAAATCAACATTTTCACTGTACCTCTTTTATTAGTATAGAAAGTGTTTCTTAAATTTGAAAAGGATCCATGCAGCAGTTCTCAAGTTAAAGGTCGCACAATGTTGAATTAAAAAACAAACATTTTAAGTTCAAAACATGTACAAAAATTATATTTTTTAATAAAATACACATATCAAAATCAACCTTTGCTGTGCATCCCATTTTTGATTATAAAAGTGTTCTTTAAATTTGGACAGAATCCATGTTCTCTAGTAGATCTCAAGTTATAGGTAGCACAGTTGTTGAAATAAAAAATATTTTAAGTTCAAATCATAACAAAAGCTATATTTTCTTAGAAAATACAATAATCAAAACCAAACTTCACACTGCACCTCTCCTGTGGGTGTAGAAACTGTACCCATAATTGGAAAAGAATCCATGAAGTAGTGTTCAAGTGATAGGTCGCACAAAGGTTGAAATAAAAAGAAATATTTGAAGTTAAAAACATTTAAAGAATCTTATTTTTTCAGAAAATATACATATCAAAATCAAACTTTGCACTGCACTCACACAAAAAAATGTCTTTGGAAGGAAGGACGGACAGATAAACTTGATCACCCGCCCTTTTAGATTGGGGGTGTAATTAAATAAGAATCATCTAAATTTTTATTATTGAAGATGTTTGAATATATTATTGCATCATGTATACCTTTCTGGCTGTGATGTGATGTAAACAAATATGCTTCCACAATACTGTAAACTCCACCTGAAAGAAAAAAACCCTCAAAGTATCACATTCTCAAATAAATCAGTAGAGATAAATCTGATTTACTAACAGTATGATGTGATTGGTGTTATTTTGGGCAAATAGTTTTATCAGCCAATAGAAATCAACTGTAATTATTCAAAAGCAATAACTTTACCTTTCTGCTGTACCTCACAAACTTGTGATCAAGTAAAAAATAATGCAAAATAGCAGGCATATGTTGGCAAAGTTTCTAAAATCTGATGTGAAAAATAAACAAATAAATGAAAAATATATATTGCCAAATAAAGAGTTCCAATGTTGGAAGCATGAATGTTGAATAAGATTATGAATTGACCTTCCAATAAGTAATAGAAGTGTTAACACTGGTATTAAATTAAAATCGTGATTTTAGATTCTATTTTATTTTTAAAGTATAAATATGAATATTTTCCATATAAATATGCCATGATATCTAAGTTCTAACATTTACAAAGATAGTAACGTTGGAAAAATTAACAAAATGCGACATCGGAGACAACACCAGATGAAGCTGAAACAGCTCTGTAAATATTTATTGAAATATATTATTCTCAATCGGAAATGATTTCATGACTATTTCGTACCCAATCTAATCCAATACGTTCCCTTCGTTCTAACCATTACTCCCCCGCGGTATGCACAAATAAAAAAGCGATTGTGCCATTATCAATCCCTTTCAAATAACAACAAACACAATCCCACGGCCACTGATTTGTGATCGAAAACTGAACTCGCGATGTTGCCGACAACAGGAAAAAGCTCTGTACACTGATCAGTAGGAGTCTGCATGGTATTATTTTATCATGTACACGGAATGATTTGAGTTTTGGAAGCCTCGTTCTGAATTGTTCAGTAAAGTTGATCTTTTTGACCGTAAAATTGCACAAGCGTGAACGAAATTGACCTTTTCAGTTGAGTTTGCTTGTTATTTTTAAACTTCCACGAGAATAGAAACAACCAGTATTCATTTACAAATACCACAGTCAGTGTTTGTTTAGGTAGTCACGTGGTCGCTCGCTGTCCGGTGACCACCAACTGTTAGAAACAGCTGAGATCGACACTCCATCTGAACTTACGCGACACGGTGCACATTTCTTTGCACTAACTTGTCCTCACGATCATGACAAACTTTATGATACGGACAAGCGCGACTTTTTGGGGGGTATGCTAGTAATAGTAAGCTATATATTTGCAAGCAATCAGAGTGACATATATTCCTAATTGGCTTCGGGTCATGAAGTTTGTGGTGTTTTCAATTTCTGGAAAATAATTACTCGTGTTGATATTTCTGAATGAACAATGGTTGTTTTATTCTCGGGTACTGTTTGTACATCATATTAGATATTGATTAAACACTTACCTCTATATATTCGAGGAAAACAGTATTCCGATGATCGAACGTGTGCTTGTGTCTCGTCGTCTGCTCGTTGAGAGGCGCAAAAAACGCAGCGCCCTCTCTGTGAAGCTGTCAATTACGAGTAGCGCCCCTTGGAAATAATTTCCGAAATGCGACCTAACGTTGTAACAACGTTGGGCCAACGTATAAAATCCGACCGCGACACTGCCAACCATTGCCGACGTTGGGCCAACGTCTGAATGCTATCTGGGAAAGCACATAAAGAAATTTAACAGTTTAATATCATTTTTGTGAAATATTCTTCGGGAAGATCAAGGACTCCAGGTCAAAAAGGGCAAACAAATCAGTCAAAAGGGTTTTAAAAGACCCTTTAATTAGCTTATTTGTAATATTCCCTTGGTACATGTCCCTTGTCTAAATATGATGTTCCTTCTGAGAAGGTTAGTCAGACAAGGAGGTTGATCTGGCGATCTATCTGTTGCCATGAAGAGGGACTCAAAGTATAACTAAAGATGAAATTTCCAATATTTCAATATCAGTTGAAATGGAGCACATTCTCCCCTGTCTGTATAGATGCGGGGGAGATATGGAAGACAGGCTCTTCATAAGATAAACATGGTGCACAAAGGTATCGAGGATTCAATCATGAGAGGACCTAAGTGTTTCATCAGTGTAAACTCAGATACCACAGAATATGACCAACTCAACCACATCCATTCCATCGAATTATCACGGTATGCCGGAAACTACAGGCCTCGCAACACAGGAATCTAAACAGCCATTGCAGACATGGGGAAACTTAAGTACCTCGCTTTTCATGATGAGTTCATGGTGATCAATGCCCTTCGATTGGCTGATTTTGTCCGGACAGAAGTAGATTTTATCTGCAATGGTTTGCCACACTGAGGGCCCTTCATCAAGCCACATGCTGGAACATCTTGTGTACATTGATTGTACTGCCTCACATCACACCGCCCTGACCTTCATCTTGGGAAGGAGACAGGAACTGTCATGGTGATAATGTGACTTCAATACAGATGAAAACATCCATTGTTTCAATGAGACTTTCATCTTCCTTCTTGCCACTATTGACCCGTGAAGATCCGGGGCAGAATAGGTCTTCAGCAACACATGCTTGTCTCCACCGTGAAGATCTGGGGTAGAATAGGTCTTCAGCAACCCATGCTTGCCTCCCCCGTGAAGATCCGGGGTAGAATAGGTCTTCAGCAACCCATGCTTGCCTCCCCCGTGAAGATCCGGGGTAGAATAGGTCTTCAGCAACACATGATTGTCTCCCCCGTGAAGATCCGGGGGAGAATAGGTCTTCAGCAACACATGCTTGCCTTCCCCGTGAAGATCCGGGGTAGAATAGGTCTTCAGCAACACATTCTTGTCTCCCCCGTGAAGATCTGGGGCAGAATAGGTCTTCAGCAAGTCATGCTTGTCTCCCCAGTGAAGATCCGGCGTAGAATAGGTCTTCATGCTTGCTGTAAAAGGCAACTAACGGCATCGGGTGGTCAGGCTCACTGACTTGGATGATGATGTCATCATATCCCAATTGCAAAGATCGATACTCAGGATGTCCGTCACTGGATTGTCTGGATTTACAGACCGCCGTCATATAGCTGGAATATTGCTGAGTGCGGGGTTAAACATCAAAGAAACAAACAAACAAATCAGGTCACTACTTTCATCACCTGGATCGGGATGATATTGTCCCAAACATTAATTTGTGCATCATGAGGACTGAATCATCCAGGAAGTAGCATGAAAATCAATACTGATGGATTAAATGGTCAATATATATTCATAATGAAATGGTCAGTATACAACCATGTATGATGAAATGCTTAATATTGATGAATATAACTGTCCATAAAGCTCCATTCAATATGAAACAGTCAATATAGATTTATATTACAAGAAATGGTCGATATAGATCCATTAATGACGGAACTGTCAATATTGATGGATATAATATCAATAGATATTAATATTTTGATAAAAATAGTCAATATTGATTAGTATAACATGATACAATCAATATTGATCAGTGTAACATGATATATTTAAGATAGATAAATATGACATAATATATTCAATATTGATAAAATGACATGATACATTCAATACTGATCAATATATCATGAGTCAATATTGATAAATAAAACATGATACAGTCAATACTTATCAATATAACATGATACAGTCAATACTTATCAATATAACATGATACAATCAACATTGATCAATACATGATACATTCAATACTGATCAATATAACATGATTCATTCAATACTGATCAATATAACATGATACAGTCAATATTGATCAATGTAACATGATACATTCAATACTGATCAATATAACATGATTCATTCAATACTGATCAATATAACATGATACAGTCAATATTGATCGATATAACATGATACAGTCAATATTGATCGATATAACATGATACAGTCAATATTGATCAATACATGATACAGTCAATACTGATCAATATAACATGATACAGTCAATATTGATCAATATAACATGATACATTCAATACTTATCAATATAACATGATACAATCAACATTGATCAATACATGATACATTCAATACTGATCAATATAACATGATTCATTCAATACTGATCAATATAACATGATACAGTCAATATTGATCAATGTAACATGATACATTCAATACTGATCAATATAACATGATTCATTCAATACTGATCAATATAACATGATACAGTCAATATTGATCGATATAACATGATACAGTCAATATTGATCGATATAACATGATACAGTCAATATTGATCAATACATGATACAGTCAATACTGATCAATATAACATGATACAGTCAATATTGATCAATGTAACATGATACAGTCAATATTGATCAATATAACATGATACAGTCATTATTAATCAATGTGACATGATACAGTCAATATTGATCAATATAACATGATACAGTCAATATTGATCAATATAACATGATACAGTCAATACTGATCAATATAACATGATACAATCAATATTGATCAATATAACATGATACAGTCATTATTAATCAATGTGACATGATACATTCAAAATTGATCAATATAATATTGTCCTTTAAAGCTCCAAATAAGATGAAACTGTCAACAAAGACTCCTATCACATGAAAGAGTCACACTAGTTCCACACAACATGAAACATTCACCATTGATCAGGATCATTGACAAGGATTTCAAATCTGTGACATAATTGGAGAAAGCTGATACGGCTTAGTTTCCCTTCTTATTTCTACTGAATTTTATGTTCAGTGAGCTTGGCAAACATAAATATTGATGCCGCCTTTCTATGGAGAGCAATGCAAATCTTCTATAAGAATCACACTCCTCATCTCCTGCCCAACAGATAGAGCAGTTCGTACATGCTATGTCAACAGTCTTTCAAATGCTGAAAACTCCAGGAAAACATCCGGGAGCTTATTAATATGTTGTAGCTGTTTCTGGCTGCAGGGTGTGTGTTGTTCTAGCCAGTGTCTTTCTGCATGGGAAGATAATTGATATTTCATGTTTTTCGCCATATGTATTTTCCTTCATCAACATTGATCTGAATATCAAGAGAGCTCTTGTTGCTACAGCCCTTACCTTGATGTTGAATTCTATCAAATTTCATTTGTCTTCGTCTCACAAGATCAACGGGTAAAGGAATATGATTAGAACCGGTTGTGTGTGCGAGTGAGTGAGTGAGTTGGGGATCAAACCCAGAACTGTCTGACAAATACAATGAGCCACCCATCACAGTTACAATACAATGCATAGTGTAGCCCATGCATAAATAGACTTGTCTTGTACTTGTTGACCATTTTCTAGGCCAATCTGTAAGTCATTATTGTAATCAGCCCTGTGCAAGGCCTGATATTTCCATGACAGTTAATATTTTCTTGTGTGGATTACATACTTCTTAGCAGAAAAGAGCAGCGCAGAATGGGTCTATATTGCCAAGTAACTATTACGGAGCAGTGTCTGAAATAATTATGAAACCTAACAAGACAGTCTGGCAGGTGACCCATAGAAGTGTTGCCTGCCCATCTTCAAAGTAACCTGCCAGTAATTCAAACATTATAAATATTGAAAAATCACGAAAAATAAGAGACAAATTGCATCTTGATTCAGTTGAAATAATGCTTAAAGTGAGTGAGTGAGTTTGGTTTTACGCCTCTTTTAGCAATATTCCAGCAATATCACGGCGGAGGACACCAGAAATGGGCTTCACACATTGTACCCATGTCGGGAATCGAACCCGGGTCTTCGGCGTGATGAGCGAACGCTTAAACCACTAGGCTACCCGACTGCCCCAATAATGCTTAAAATTACTTGAGAATCTACAAGACATTATAATATAACTGAATACATAAACTGGCTGAAAATAGTCTGCCAGACAGTTGGGCAGGTGGTAGAGAATTTCATGCATCCCGACAGAGGTCACCAGCCATGGGCAGGCGGGTCGGCAGTTATTTCCGACACTGTTATAGAGAAAGTTTTAGTATCATTGATGTTTCATCTTTGTTCACTTGTGTCAATCTCTGTAAACAAATTTAACTGTATGGTTTTATCTTAATGGTCTTAATAAATATGTTTGTTTTAATTGTCTATGTACCTTCAATGGTTATTAAGGTGAATACGGTAATTCACAGAGTGTCTGTTTGTTTGGGAGGAAACCCATGAGTCCACAAGCAAAGGTATGGTGCTGAAAATCAAGGATCATACAGACGGATCGTGGGATTTGTTCACTGGATCCTGACATGCCTAAGGGACATAAATCTGTATAGCAAATTGTGGCACCGGTGTTGAAGTGGCCACCTTCTTCCCCCGAAACTGTTAACATGCGTGGTGCTTCTGGAATAGTTTTCCATTAGACATTCGCTTGATACTATCCATATTGCAATAGTTTTTTATGATTTATCAATAGATTATGAGTTATTTCTTTTTGTCGTTGCCTTTTTCATAACAAATTGCCCCATAAAACCGGCATATTTATACAAAAACAAAATGTTCATGACAGCTGTCGCTTCAATGTCCTGTTAGGTACTAAATTTCCTCCATTTAATTTATAAGTTACCCTTGAAATTACAGGGAAAAAACCCAGAGTTATGAGGAGGAAAAAACTTCAGCTTGTATCATAACATAGAATAGTAATTCAATATGTAGCATACAGAAACCAGACATTCATAATTCATAAATGGTCCCAGCACCTGACATGTTTATCTGGGATGATGGGAGGGTTCCCTGCATAGAGGCTGGCTGCTCAAACAACCACAGCAGCAACATGTGTAGTCCTGCACAATGACCGTGGAATATATTTATTTTATGAAAAAACAAAATCTAGAAATGCATACAA